AAGTAAATAAAGTACATTTTTTAACTTGTTAGCATGTCCACATAGTATTTTATCTACTAGAAGACATTTCATGAGAGAAATAAGCAGTCAACACCATGGCTGAGCATTTCCACCTTAAGACTGCAGTGTACCAACGACAGTCTCAAAAAACACAAATTCATCCTTTCAGGGTTTCGTATGCAACAAACATGAGGAACCAATCCTGCTGAAATACATCATTTTTCTTCCTCTGAATCAGATTCCAGCTATCATATGTAAATATTCTGTTCAGCAGCACAGATTGTGACAGCGGCTGCAATCACAGTCAAGAACTCGCAAAAACAAAAAACTGTTCACAGAAGTATTGACACTACAACAGACTGAGAAGAGTTCCAGTAGAACATTTCTAAATATGTAACTTTGATACACAGAGATGCATTTTTAGGTTTTAAGCCAATCACCAGAGAAGGTCTTCAATAAATCTAATGTCAGAGTGTCTAAAATGTGAAAAAATCATTCTCCTGTTTCTTCAGTTAAATAAAGAAAATGTCTGTTTACGAGTAAACAAAGCAAATCTGGAGGGTCAAATACACAGAGGGAAAGAATTCAGAAGTCCATCCTTCCAAGTCCTAAGTACACCGAATGCAGCACGACTACAGTGTTCACTACTGGGAACCATCTTGGATTCTGAGGTCGGGGACTGGTGAGGTTCTTCCGAGTCAGAATATTCCAGTTTCATTTCAGTTAAAATTTATGAAAGGGAACTTGGAACTTCTGACTTCTTGAATGCAGCTGTAATGGAGCTTTTTTTCTTCCATTGCAGCATTTTCTTGTATGTGACTTAAATTAATAACATGCTGACAAGACAAAAAAAGACAGAACTCAGCCAGTGACAGCAGAGTACTGAACGCTGCATACACACACTTTGAGTTATCATCTAATTCATCCTCGTAAAAGGTTGATTTTAAATATAGCAAATCAAAACGTAGCTTTGTCAGACGAAGATGACGTATTTCCTCATCACCCAGAGACGCAGAGTGGAGCAACAAATCCAAATACTGCAGGTTCATTTCAATGTTCAGACTGTGTCATGCTTAATGCTTCTAACTTTGTTTTTTTCAGTGGACTATAGCTTGATTTTTGGTTTATGGACTTCAGCTGCAGAGCAAGCAGCAGATGGCATTGAGAGCATCTATACTCATGTGCTGGTGTTTGTAGTTAAACCACCAAACTGTCCAGTTAGCGGTTGGGTTTCGATGCCACTGTGTTGACCTTTTTCTCCAAAAAAGGTTTCTGAAACGGAGCGAATCATATTGGAGGTGGAGCTAATAAATGTTAAACAACAGCCACTTTTATTGAAAATGCTACAACACAGAAAATAGTTGAGTCTAAACATGGATTGGTAGAGCTACGAAAACAGAATATAGCTTCACTGGTAGAATATTGGCCTTTGAGCCTGCATTATGATACAACTACAGCCTATTACAGATTCAGCTTCTATATGTACACAAATCAGTGATAGTTGTTGTGGTCTACATTGTCCTGACATGTGGTTGTATTTGTGGGGAGGTGCTGCTACGTCCCACCAATGGTGTAGATTCAGCAAATAAGGATAAATTAAGCTTTGACTACAGAAGCAAACCGTACTTTGGAATAAGCAGCCTGCAAAGTTGTCTCTCTTCTCAGCTGGAAAACCAGTAATAGTATTTCTTAAAATGGTGTGGTAGCATCTTAACTCCTTGTTAACAAAACAAGAACAATACTCCCAAATGCTAAAACATTAAAGCACCACAGCCAGCCCACAATCAACTGCCTCCTTAAATATTGTTTTTTCAGGATTTAACAGTACAAATGTTGTGTATTCTAATTGCCTCTAATTAGTATATAGAGTCTTTCCGGTTCGGCTCTACGTCTGCAGTCACAGATTCCTCCTTGACACATGAAAACGTCAATAACTCAAATCAGTAAGCACTGTAGGTCACATATATCTCTAAATTTCTGGATTTCAACAGGCTCATTGCAGCGTTTGGACAAATAAGAACACGTATGTTCCAGAGTTTAATCTAAGTTCAATCAACAAATGCTGTCATCCTGTTGGAAAGTGCATCTGAGACCTTTTGATTCCAAGTTTCTGGTTCATGTCGGGCTCTTGCATGTTAAATTCAACTACAATCGTCTCAACCTTTGCATGAATCTCTTCATCGACGGTATTTTGTCTCTTGTGTTGTTTGCTTGTTTGTTTGTTTGTTTGCTGGAAGCTGGGAAACGATTTATCGGCGCTCCACGTGCAGAATGAACCTGATGAACCTGCACACTAATGAGCAGGTAAAGACGCTGAATGAATGAATGAATGAAGGAGTAAATGTGAAGCTGCGAAACTGGTGATACAATATTCAGTTTTTTTTCACTATTTCATAATATCAGTTATTAATTTATGCAATAACATATAGTCCACCTCTAAAAGAATGAATGAATGAATAACGTCAGGCTGGGAAATTTGGGGGACTTTATTCATGTGTCTATAATCAGAGAAATCCTGTCATTTTTTTATGAAATGATTGAATTTGGGCATAAATCTGATTAAGTGTCTTAATTTAAAAGGAGCTCATTTAAATTAACTTGCCAAAAACAGACGTTATTTCACTTGGTTTTTCCATTTATCGTGATTATAATTACATAAATGGCATACACTCCACCTTTAAATGAATAAATGAAAGTACGTAGATGATTTCTTGTCCCGGTCAACATAAAACAAACCACAATTTGCCAACAGGAAGTGCAGAGAATGACCCGAAAACCTGCCAAACGCGACGACATCCACCTCAGCTACCACTCAGAAATGTGTTCACCTCTTGAAAGTCACACACAGAATGTTGCTCCTGTTTAATCACTGCACGAGCTCCGTCGGTTTCATTAATTTAAGCAGTTGTAAATGAGGCTCCTCGTCATTCGGCCTTATTTTCCTTCTGTTGCTCCCCGAGATTGATGCTCAAACACCGACGGAGGAGGAGGGAGGGAGGGAGGGAGGGAGGAAGCTCGGCTCGCTGCCCATCCCCCCTCCGTCATCCCGGCTGCTACATCCACTGCTGCAGAAAGAGCCAGCGATGATGATGATGATGATGATGGTGGTGGTGGTGTTGCCCTGCCTTCCTTCCTTCCTCCCTGCCCCCTCCACCTCCACCATCCCGGCTTCACCTCCACGGTGCAGGTGCTGCGACCCTCTCCTCACGCCGATGTGGAAGACGGCTGCACCGACAGCCTGCTGTTTTACAAACCAGGGTGTTATGTAATTGGCTCAATAATTAAAGGGTGCACAACATAGCAGGACAACTGGCATGTGGAGCTGCATTGTGTAATGTAGTAGGTGTGCAGATGAGATCATTTCTTGCTAAAATTTAGCCTCGACTCAACAGAAATCTTGAAAAAATGCTCATCTCAGCCACCACCAGGCCAAATATTAACCCACAGACGGCCTGCAAATCATCTTATCATGGCAGCGTGATGATATAATGTCATTATTTCACACTGGTGCACCAGGATTCCAAGCAAATTTAATTAAAAACCAACATTTAAGATTAGGTTTGTGGCTGAGACACACACTGGATCTATATTTGATTACTATATAAGTGAATTTATGTCAATGATTCATAAACTACAGATTTCATTAGCATGCAGCCTTGCTAAACTGCTTCATGGGCCTTGTGTTAGTATTATATTGTACTCCTATATTTGTGGATTTGTTATCGTTGCTCCAAACCTTTTCATCCTCCTGTCAAGTTGTGATAAATTACTTTAATCTTGCACAAGTTAGGAGGTGAATATATGAGTGTAATGTATGGGCTGGTGCCAAATAAGACACCTAGTCTGATGCAATTTAAGATATTTAAAGATCCAGCAACCACAAAGCTACTCCAGAGCACCATGTGGAAATGTGCAATCAATGAGCACCAAATGAAGCAGATCCTGCACCAGGGGCAGGGCAGGTGAACAAAAAAAAAATGCAGAAAACGCACAGGTTAAGGATGATTTCGCAGGATTTGGACACCTGGATGAAACACGGATGCATGTGTGTGAGTCTGCAGGCCTGTCTGACACGATCACGACCACGAACACTTGCACCCAGTTGACCCTGCCGACGAGAATCGAGCTGCGCCTCCATGTTCGGGCCTGCATCAGCACCGCGCACCGACCACACAAACGAACCCAAATGACAAATCAGACGCCGGACAGACAGACAGGGTCCCTCTGGTCGCTGCCGCACCGCCACTAAAGGGCACCGAGAGGCTCAGAGGACATCCGCAGCTCGTAAACACACAATGCGGATAATTCTTGCGCCTTTTTTTTCCAGCACAACTTTTCACGACTTGGATGCAAAAAAAAAATCCGCCATTTAAAAAAAAAAAAAACGGAGCAAACGGCGGCTCCGGCTCGGAAAGGGTGTTTTACGCAACCGATTTGTGCTCCATCAGAGGGGTGAGGCTCTGCTCAAAGCAGGGAATCCCACGTAACGGAGACTGCTAATCTCCATTTTAGAATCAATAGCGTTACATGGCACTGGTGAGGTGAGCAGCGTCCAGCATCATGATGCAGCTCCAATGCAGCGCAGATTATTCCAGGAATAAAAACGCTGATTGGGACCTAAAAGGGCGTAGATGGGCTGTGTTTGGATCCAGGTTTTCTGCGGGAAAGCGGATGCGTAAATTTCCCCACATGAGGGCTAATAATCGCTTGTGCAAACCTCGATTTGCAATTGCGCAAAAACGCACCGCAGGAGCCCGGTGAGACAAACAGCCTCCGCAGGACATCTCCCCTCTCTGCACGGTTTACAATGGAGCTCTAACAGCACCACCTTCATCATCATCATCACCACCCAGATGCACTAGCAGCCATCCGCATCCCGCACACAGGAAAAAAATAAAATAAAACACACACCGCTTCCATCTCAGACACACAACCAGCCGCATCCGTGCGCGCAAAACGCTGCGCAAATCCGGAGCCAATATAAGAATTAAAAGTCTTACTTTCTCCGACCACCGCCTTTAATCCGATAGGAGCCATGATGCTGCTGGGTGCTGGACCGACTGATCTCCTCTGTTGCCTCCCTCCTCTGCTCGGCTCGCAGCGCTGCGGAGGAGCCTCGAGTCGGAAACGTCACTGCGTATCCTTCCGCATCATCCGTCCGTGGAGCCGTTCGTTAGCGTTCACCTCCCAATACATGCATGTGCTGAGTGTCTAATTAACCCATTTATTATTCAAATACGCCTCATGAAAGATGATCTATTGTGTACAGGTCGTATTATATGTCTATACTGTAGAAAAAAAAGAACATTTAACTGTATTTATTGAAACAATTTACTGTTATTTTACAGATTATCTCTGTTTTGTTAATTTACAGATAACAGCTACTAAAATCAGAGAAAAATACAGAAAAAAATATTAAGTTACATGTTAATTTTTACAAAAAAAAGAGCCAAAAATGTTCCTAAAATAAAATCTGTATTGTTAAAAATACTCATTTGTTCTTTAACATTTGTAAAATGACACTATTTTTATTTTATTTTCTGTATTTAAAGCAGGATTTCCTTTTGTTTTTTTCTCCCAATATTTGCGGTTACTCAAAAAGAATTGATGCATATTAAGGACTTAAAAACAGTAAAATAATAGATAAATAATAATAATGTGAAAATATTAATAAATAATCGTAAAATATTTTTTCAAACTGTTGTTTTCCAGGTTTTTCTCCTGCTTTGTTAAATTACAGACAATATTTAGTAAAATCACAGAAGAAACTTACAATTGATGTTGAATGGGAAACAAATTAAAATAAATGTAAAAAAAATTTAAAATCCCACATTACAAATCAGTATTTATATAAAAAAAAAAAAAGTAATGTGTTTCTATCACTATTGAAACAAATTACAGTATTCTATTTAAAAAATTTACTTTTTAAAAATAATTTTATTTTTTGTTAAATTACTAATAACTGGTAAAATCAAAGAAAAAACATATTAATTTACATGTTAACCACCCAAAAAGTAATGCTTCATCAAAAGTCTACATAATCTATTCTTCTGAGCAACTTCACGTCATTTTACAGATCTCTCCTTTTATTTCTAAATTACTGAGAATAACCAGTAAAATCACAAGATACAAAGGGATTAATGAAATGCTAATGCTGAAAAAGAATCGATCCATCCTGAACTCAAGGTGAAGAAAAAAGAAGTTATCAAACTGATTTCATTGAGTTACAACAACTTGAATTTAGTTTTAAGCCAACTAATGCAGAAATGTGAGTTTAAATTTCACACAATAAGAAGTTGATGCAATTACCAACATTATTACCAAAGTCACCACAATTATGTTGTTTGTCTAAATCAGTAAATAGATTTTACCTTACAACCATGCATTTACTAAAGTGGTGGGACAAGAATAGAATAGAATAGAAAAATACTTTATTTATCCCAGTCTGGGAAATTACTGTGGTACAGCAGCAAGAGAAAAAACACCAATCCCAACAGAAAAAGAGCCAAAGTTAAATACTATTTAAAAAATTACAAATAAAAATAAGTGAATAAAATTAAATAAATAAAACAACTGTACAAAATGTGCAAATTGAAAAAAAAACAGTGCAAAGACAGAGGGTTTTACAGAGCAGAGAGCTGAGAACGCTCTCTGCCAGACAGAGGTGAGGTGTTGTAAAGGGTTATTGCTCTGGGCAGGAAAGATTTCCTGTAAGATTCTTGTGCGTACTTTACATACAGCTCAGTTAATGTGAACATTTTAAAACAGGAGCAGCAGCTGTTGTCAAGGTAACAGGTAGCATGGATCTAAAAAGGGCA